ATCCCGGCGGCCCCGCTTCCCATCCAGCTCCCTGCCTGTGGCCCAGGAAAGCAGTCGAGGATGGCCCAAAGCTTTGGGACCCTGCACCTGCGTGGGAGACCCGGAAGAGGCTCCTGGCTTCGGATCAGCATAGCATCGACCGTTGCGCTCACTTGGGGAGTGAATCATCGGACGGAAGATCTTCCTCTCTGTCTCTCCTCTCTGTATATCCCCCTTTCCAATAAAAAAAAAAATAAATAAATCTTTAAAAAAAAAAAAAAAGAAAGTTGCTTGCTTCAAATCCACCAATAGAAGCCTGCTAAATCATGAGTCTATAATTAATAGCCTGAAATGGGCTGGGGTGGGGGTGGCTGGGAGACCGAGGCTAACCTGAATAAACCGCCTTTATGCCTTAGCACCGACTTCGGACTTGATGATTTTCTGGGGATTTCAAAATCCGGCACAACACAGGGAACGACCCGAGTCTTGAAAAATGAGCTTAATTAGCTCCAGCTCAGAGATGACATTCCAGGGTCAGAGGTGACATTGCAAGCCAGAGACGATATCAAAAGGAGATGACTGCACAAGAAATGTTACCACGAGGTCAGGAAGGGCATCACGTGAGAAGAGAGGAAATGGCACTGTGAGACATGACTTCACAAGGAAAGAAGTGATAGGCATGATGCGTGATGACATCACAAGGTAAGATACTCCAGGACAGAGAGCTGCTCCCAGACAGAAGAAAGGTGGGCTGGGGGCGCTCCAGAGTGGAGCCTTTTTCATGTCGGGGTGGCTGCTGCAGTGGCTCAGGCATGCTGCGGAGGGAGCACAGACCTTTCTGTGGTCGGCTGGGGGCCGTCGCTCCATCTGCACCCCCATCCTCCCTCTTCCCCGGCTCCATCCATTTCCTTCCTGCCTCTTGCTGCAGGGTAAAGTGTCTGTGCTTTTGTGTTGGCTTCTTCCATGTAGCCCGAGTCCCAACCAGTGGCAGCATGCATCAGAATGTCTTTCTTTTTAAAATACTTGTTTCATTTATCTGAATGGCATATTGGCAAGAGAGGGAGAGACAGAGAGCACGAGCTTCCATCCACTGGTTCACTGCTCAGACGGCTACAGGAGTCAGGATGGCATCAGGAGCCCAAAGTCCGGAGCCCAAAATTCCATGAGGTTTCTCATGTGGGCCATCTTCTGCTGCTTTCCCAGCTTCACTGGCAGGGAACTGGATCCAAAGCGGAGACGCCAGACCTGGCACCAGTGCTGATACGGGATACCTGGCAATGCAGGCAGAGGCTTAACTCACTGGCCCTCAGTCCAGCCTCTTAAGGTGGAACATCATTCCCCAGTGCACGGAAATATCATATTCTGGATATTATCTTTTTTTTTTAAGGCTTATATTTATTGGCAACTCAGATTTACAAAGAGAAGGAGAGATAGAGAGAAAGAACTTCCATCCACTGGTTTACTCCCCAAGTGGCCACGAAGCTGAGCCTACCTGAAGTCAGGAACCTGGAGATTTCTCTGAGACTCCCATGTGGGTGCAGGGTGCCATGACTTTGGGCCGTCCTCAACTACTTTCCCAGACCACAAGCAGGGAACTGGAAGGGAACTGGAACAGTCAGGATACAAACTGGAGTTGCTCATATGGGATCCCAGTGCATGCAAGATGAGGATTTTAGCCACTAGGCTACTGTGCCAGGCCCTTTATTTGATCTTTTTATTTCTAACCTTTCCATCTGGGGACACATTCCTGTTACAAACCCAATACCCAGTTATCTCCTGCTAAGTAGAAGCTGAAAGGCCAGAACTCTGAGGGGTAAAGGGGACCACCCCTTGCAGTGCTAATTTCTGTGCCCAAGAAAGGTCGTTAAGCCAAGCAGGTGGTCTCTCCCCAGCATACCTGGGCCACTTCAGCAGCTGCCCCAGGCACACGACGAGGCTCCAATGGGCTGTGGGTACTTCTGCGAAACAAATCAGACTTGATGATGTTGGTGCTTCTTTCAAACTGCCATCTTCCATATGCCGAGTGACATCAAACCCACGTGTGCCAAGAATCAGAATACAAGCCAAGGGGGTAACAGCACCTTCGTTGACCAATGCCTTCTAGTGCCACCAAACCAGAGCACTTTAACCAGAACCCCCGGAAGTCACCGCTCACTTGTCAGTGACTGCTTTGGGCCCAGTGAACAAGCAACTTCTTCCTGTCTCACTCGGGCGCCTGAAGACCCGCCCTCCCTGCATTGGCTAGGACGTCCTTCCCAAGCCAGCTCCTTCCTTGAAGACCTCTGTAGGTTGTCTGCCAGGGAGTGCCTCACCTCCAGCTGTGCTATGTCCTCGTTGGGCTGTGTGATGATGCTACAGCCAGGTGTGATCAGCCTCCCGGCAACAACCTCCATGTCACACATCCCTTTTGTCACCAGATCCCCTGCAATACCACAGACTGCCTACTGGCCAGAGAGGCAAGCCTGGCTCACCAAGGACCTTCTAGCACTTTCCCTCGGACTCACCCAAATCCTCTCCTGCACCAAGCTACTTTTCTCACTGCTGCTTCTCCCGAGAGGCACCTGCAGCGGGTACTGCCTGCCTCCCTGTGGCATTGGGGCAGGAGCTCTCAGGCCTGCTGTCCCGCTAGCAACTCCACAGAAGGCATCATTGAGCTATCAGTGAGGCAGTGGTTTGTACTGGTCCTGTGGGCTGTAGCTTTCCACCCTGGATCGTCTTGCAGAAACCATGGCGTTAGACTTACAAACTCAGGTAAAAGACGGGGAAGCTGGCTGATTTGGGAGTCTGATTCATTTGGCAAGAGTTGACCAAAGCCACTCACCGGAGCCTCCCAGTTCCAGCCTGACTTTCAGCTTCTACTAGCAGGGCGTAACTGGGGTATTGGCTCTGTAACAGGAAAGTGTCCCCACGAAGTAGAACTTTTAGTTCTGGAGGTTCCTCCTCCAATCTAACTCCCTGCTAATGTGACTGAGAGAGCAGCCGAGGATGTGCAAATGGTTGGGCTACTGTCCCCGGTGGGAGATGGGACGGAGAACCAGCTGATGAAAGATCTCTCTAGAAAGATCTCTATAACTCTGCTTTCAGATAAAGTGGTTTTGTTAGTTTGTTTGTTTTTAATTAAAATACACTCAATACAACGTACTCTCCTTATATGCCTACTGCCTAGGACAAATACAGACCCGACCAATCTCCCTGGATCAGAGTTAACCACTGTACTCTGAACACACTGGCCAGTGAGGCCCGCCTTCCCCCACCTTGTCCATCGCCACTCTCTCTTAGCCAACCAGCAAAGCCTCCTGCTCAGTCCTGTTTACTGAGTGACCAATGCCAGCATTATGCCAGCTGGCCCTGTAACTCTGTTATGTTATCCTCAGCTATGGCATTAGTGGATGGTAAGCAGGCTGCAAGAGGTAACCTGAAACATAAAGATTCATTAGCAATACAGTCACTGCCTGACAGAGCTCAGCTTATGCAGCCCACCCGGCACCAGCCCTGGGATCACCCCTGGGCCTATGCTGGTGGCCATGGCCTCACTTTTCCCATGGCGCAAGCCAAGAGACCAGGGGCCTCCTGGGGTTTCCAGAAAAGTCTACCATCATCACACGCATCATTTGCCATGTGGTCATTTTCAGGCACAGAGGGTGGAGCTAAGGAAAGAAAGTAAGGAAGTCAACCATGCATTCCAGAAACTCTGCCAGCGTCTCCACTCATGCCCAGGCCTGCACCCTCTCCCAGCTGTGGGCTTCTACGTGACCACTTAGGACACCCAGCTGACTGCAGCCTCTTAATCAGCAATGAGGTTAACCAGACAGAACTGGGGAGGGGTGGCAGGAGAAAGGAGGCAGGCAGGCCCATGTCCCCCCCGCCCGCCCCCCATACGATGCTGGTTATGAGAAGCTCACGAACAAGCAGAACAGCCCTGCGGGGATGGTGTGGCCACAGCAGAGCAGAAGGAGCAGCCGTGGAGGCTCAGGCAGAATCCCCAGGCTGTGACGACGCGGCCGCGTGTGCCTGTGCATGTCTGAGATTATACCTGTCTCTGGTGATTTTGCAAATCAGGTCGGGCCGGCACGGTCGGGGAGCTGCCTAAGCCACACCCTGCACATCCCCTTTCAGATCCCTGGTCTGTCCTCACTTCTCTACCTCCAATCTTGCTCCCTGGGAAAGCAGCAGGAGGCTTCTAAGGGCTTGGGCCACCGCCCGACAAGGAACACCATGCGTTCTTGCTTGTATGTGACAGTACACAGATCACCAAAGGATGAAAAAAAACACTACAAACTCTACAAGGGAAATTTGCACAGTGGGGAATAATGAATGCATCCTTACTGTGGAATTACAGGAAGCTTGCTACTATTATTTGTAATTTTATGTTATTACATTTTTCTCCCGTTTCCATACCTGCCACACCATGACACATTTATGCATCATCAAGTCAGCCCGTAACTGAAATGAATGACTATGTTATTGTAGTATCTTGGAGGTAAGTGATGAGAGAGGTTATAGGGAGGGAGATGATTGATCCCCTATGGTTATAAATCTGTATTGTAGGAAAATAAACAATAAATACACCCGGGTGATGTTTTCCAAGCAGCCAACGCAGAAGCAGCGCCGGCAGCGCTGTTATCCCGTCGTGTTTCAGCCACCGCCTCCGCACCCCTGCAGCCCCAGCTTCTAGACTGCCTGGCCCAGAGGCCGAGCTCGCAAAAGATTTGCTAATTGAGGGCTACGGGGCCTTAAAGAGAACCCACAGCCCCTTTCTTTTCTCCCTGAGTCCAGTACAGAACAGAACAGAGCCCAGACTCGGTCTTCCCGGGACCCCTGAGAAAGCGCAAAAGCCCCTCACCCCAGAGTACTTTGGCCCTAAGATCCGGGCGCTCCGGGGAGAAGCAAAGGGACAGGAAAGGGGTTGGCCTGGGGAGGAGGGGCGGGACGCTGGCTTAGGACGGGCGGGGAGGGCCCGGAAGAGGCGGGCCGGGCGGGGCCGGGCGGGGCCGGGGTTGCAGGGGGAGGACCGGAGTCCCCATCGCATAAAAACACTGTCGCCTCGGTCCTGCCAACTGTCGTGCCGGAGGCAGCTTCAGCTCTCCTGCCGTAGGTGCGTGTCCGATCGAAGCATGGCGAGATCTTTGAGCGTCCCTCTGCTCCTGCTGGGCGCCCTGGCCGTGAGCCTGGTCGTGAGCCCCGCAGCCGGTGCCAGACAAGCGCCGCGCCGGCTGGGTGGCGTGGAGGACGTGGACGTGAACGAGGAGGGCGTGCAGCGCGCCGTGGGCTTCGCGATCAGCGAGTACAACAAGGGGAGCAACGACGCATACCACAGCCGCGCGGTGCAGGTTGTGCGCGCCCGCAGGCAGGTGCGTGCTGGCCGCCCGGGCCTGGGGCGGGCGGGAACGGCCAGCGGCCCTCCCTGCGCCTCCGCTGCCGGGCCCAAAGTCCAGGGAGCCGCCCGGGGTGAGCGCGCCTGCGCTCGCCGCGCGCCCTCCCGGCGTGTCCCCGGGCGGCCCCTGTCCGACCCGGCCCGGCCCGATCTGGAATCCTGCTTGGCGAGCAAAGCCGGCGCTTGGCGTCTTAATCTGCGTCCACGCGCTCGGCATCGGGAGGCGCCGCGGAGTCAGGGTTTGGCTCTGTCCTGTCCTGCCTGGTGAGCAGCGGGGCTCACCGTGGGTGTCGGAAGAAAAACGACTCTTAACTGCTGTGTCCTCCAGGCCTGCCCCTAAATAGTTTCAAGAGATTTCTAACCTGACTTCATTTCGAATTTGCAAGGCCGACAGTGGTCAAAATGTTGCAGAGTACTACTCAAGATCTTTCGCCTGGCTCCATCCTACCTCCCACTTGTTTACATTTTGAGAGTAAAACGCCCCGGGGTGCACCGTCAGAAAACAAGGCCTCCCTCTACCTCTTTAAAGCCACTTGTCAAAGTCAGCCCGCACCCTGCTTGCCTTCCGTTCTAATGGTGCGCAACAACAGGGCCCCTTTCCCAAACTGTCCCCGCTGCTTTTTGTACTTGCAGGGGCTCTCCGGGCCCGGCAACAGAGTGACTGACAGAGAGGAACCCAGGGGCTGCCCTGGCCAGCAACAGAGTGACTCTGTGTGTGTGTGTGTGTGTGTGAACCCATGGGGAGTGTTGGTGATTCTGGCTCTTTGCACACATGCAGATCGTTGCTGGCGTGAAATACTACTTGGATGTAGAGCTAGGCCGAACCACGTGCACCAAATCGCAGCCGAACTTGGCCGACTGTCCCTTCCACGAGCAGCCTGAGATGCAGAGGGTATGTGCCTGATGGCAGTTGGGGAAGGGAGAGACCCAACATGCAGTGCTGGGTGGGGGGAGAGGTGGGCTGCACACAGGGAGGTGTGTGTTGTGTGTAGAGGGGCATAGGGGAATGGGTGCATGTGATGCATTGGGATTGCTGGGGGAGCCCAGCCTGGGAATTGGGGCACTGCGAGGGCAGGGCTGCTTATCTGTGGGACTGGGGGAGGCAGCTGCAGGAGTGCTGCCAGGAAGAGAGGAGGGAGCTGTGTGTGATCCCAGCCTTGGCCATCTGCTCACAGCCCCACAGCCCCGCTGAGCAGACTAGGGGAGGGATTAGAGCTTGTGAGCGGCTCAGCGCCCTGAGGCTGCCCCCTCTCATTCCTCTACCTGCTTATTCTGTGGTCCTTGCCAGCTCTTGCAAGGTTGATTTGGTGGGGAGCACAGCTAACCCCTTGCCACCTCCTCCTGCCCTCTGGGGTCTTCCCTCTGTACCCCTCCTGGAGCCGGCCTGCTCTTAGGGCCCTGGGCAGCCTTGCGGAGGATGATGCTAGGCGGGGGTGGCGGTGGGGGGGTGGTGGAGAGGAAGGACCGAGGCTGCCCCCTTCCCATAGAGTCCCCCCTTCCCGGGACCTCCCACACTTTGATCATCTGCATGAGCATCTGTGTGCATCATCAGCCACCTGTCTCTTCCTTTCACAGAGACTGCTGTGCTCCTTTGAGATCTACAGTGTGCCCTGGCTGAACAAGATCTCCATGTTGAATTCCCGCTGCCAGAATGCCTAGGGGATCTGCGGCAGCCCTGACCTCGCCTGCTGCCCCATCCAGTGCCCACCCTTGTTCCCAGTGCCCACCCCGTCATCCACAGGCGCCCCTGGCCCCGCTGGCAGGCTGGACAAGGCAGGTTTTGAAGAGCTGAGTGGCTCCACCCTTGTTCTCATCTTTCCTTGCTTACCAAGTGCGTTGCCATGTGGTGCATGTGTGCTGCCTCAACTGCACTGAATAAAAAACAGCATCAGCTCTTGCTGTGTTAGTCGGCCTTTTGTTACTTCCTGAACCAAAATGCCCGGGATAAGTTATTTTGGAGGGAAGGCTTGTCTCAGCATGTGGCTGGGGAGGTCCGCAGTCCAGGTTGGGGGCTCTGTGGGCCTACAGGTATGTGGGGAGCAGGGAAGGTGGCTGATGGAGTGTTGCCGGTGAACTGGTGTCTGGCCTGTGCAGCCAGCCCTGTAGAGAACCACCTTTGGAGCAGCCCACCTTATTCTGAAGACCTGCCAACACACTCACCCCCCCCAATACAATCATTACAGCCAGTGTCCCCCATTACCCCACCCACCGCCAACACTGGTTGTTGCGTCCTGTTCCAGCTGCTGGTGGAGATCTCAAGCAGGGACCTAGGTGTCAGAGACCCAGGACATATTAGAGCAATGAGGAGCTGGGAACCCAGGCCTTGAGCTGCAGGAACTGTGGGGGTGGCGTCCAGGGTCTGGGGCCAGGCCTCTGTGTGGACTCAGCCAGATAGCGGATCCCATTTGTTTACAGGGAGATCGGATTTCCAAGGGAACAGGGGAGCTCTGGACTGGGTTCTGGGCTCCTGGCTTTGGCCGGGCCCTGCCCCTGCTGTCAGAGGCACCAGGGGAGGGGTCCAGCAGGTGCCAGAGTTTTGACTGTCTATCTCTGCCTTTCAAGCAAATAAGTGATCATCTTAAAAGTCTAGGAAACTTCCAGATCCTGCTTCAAGGAGCCATAATCTTGCAGTAGTTCCCTATAGCATCACATGTCAGTTTCTTCAGTCTGGCTGATTCCTTTTCTTTGTTCCCGCTTTTTTGCCAACTATGACACTTTAATAAAGTGGTCACTCTTTTTTTTTTTTTTTTTTTTTAAATCTTTGGTTTTCTCAATGTGTTTAGAGGGTGGATATTTTCCTAAACAATGAAGATGCCAGTTGGGACACCCCACGTCTCTCCTCAGAATGCCCGAGTCGAAGTCGGCCACACCCTAGACTCCAGCCTGCTGCACATGTGCTCCCCTGGGGGCAGCAGTAATGGCTCTGGGAGGGTCCCTGGGCATGGACACCCCAGGAGGGAACTGTGATGGCTCTGGGAGGGTCCCTGGGCATGGACACCCCAGGAGGGAACAGTGATGGCTCTGGGAGGGTCCCTGGGCATGAACACCCCAGGAGGGAACAGTGATGGCTCTGGGAGGAACCCTGGGCATGTGCACTGCAGGGATTTCAGAAAGGTCATGGAAAAGTAGCATGCTAAGTTTATTTAGGGGCCAAATGCCTTTGAAATTCATGCAGACAGCAGTCCTCAAACAGGTTGTGGGGAATGCGCATTCTGAAAAAAAAAGGTATGGATTTCTTTTTCTTTTTTTTTTTTTTTTAGCAAAATAAACTTCCATGTTGCCAGCAGAAAGATAAAGAGAGAGTGCCTGCCTGCTGGCTCACTTTTCAGTGCCCTCCGCTCTCAGGGTGAGGCAGGGGCCAGAGCTGAGTGCCAGCAATTCAACCCAGGTCACCCGCTGGGATGGCAGGCATCCAATTACTATCACCGCTACCTGCTGTGGTCTGCACTGGCAAGAAATGGATTGGACGCCATAGTCAGGCATTGAGCCTGGGGAACTTCAGTATGGGGTGCAGTGTCTTAACAGCTAAGCTGAAAAAGCAGCAAGGAGCAGGCACAGTCACTGTTTTTGTCCCTGCAACAAGCCTGACCCAGCGCTTCCTCTGGCCTTGTAGTTTGTGGGCCAATCACCGTTCTTCAGGCACAGAATGTTGGGTTTCCCATTTGTGCTCCCTGACTAAAGAGGAAGAAAGAAATTGTCTTTCAGTTTTCCAAATGAGTCAGAAGAGGTTTTATTTTTGTTGTTGTTTTTAATTATTATTTGCTATCTTAAAAATGTTTATTGGAACTGATGTGGTGGTGAACAGGCTTATGGTGGTAAACATGCTGGCATTTCATACAGCACTGGTTTGTGTTCCAGCTGCTCCATTTCATAATGCGTTTCTTGCTAATGGGCTGGGGAAGCAGTGGAAGTTGGTTCAAGTGCTTGGATCCCTGCACCCACTTGGAAAACCAGGAGGAAGCTTCTTTCTCCTGGCTTCAGATTCCCCAGCTCTGGTCGTTAAATCCATTTAGGGAAGGTGGATGGAAGATCTCTCTAGGTCTCTATCTCAATGTCCCCACTCTCTCTTTGCAACTGATTTTCAAGTAAAATAAGCAAATCTTAAAATAATGTTATTTATTTGAAAGGCAGAGTTGCAAGGGGAGAGAAATCTTTTATCAACTGGCTTACTCTGCAAGTGACCACAACAGATAGACCTGAGCCAGCCTGAAACTCCATCCAGGTCTCCCATGTGGGTCCAAGCACTTGGACCACCCCCTGCTGCTTTCTCAGGCACTTTAGCTCAGAGCTAAACTGGAGTACCAGCACCATAGGTAGTGTCTTAATCCGTTGCGTCACAAAGCCAGCCCCTTGCATTCTTCGTTTTACACTCACAGGGTTTTATACTTTTTCTTTTAATTAACAGGATACTGGTACATATTGGTGGAATATAGAGTAATGTTTTAAGACATTTGTAAAACCTGTCCTGACAGACCACTACATTTAGCACTTCCATCTCCTTGTCATCACTTTTTTTTTAATTGGGAAGGCAGATATATGAGAGAATGAGATACACAGAGAAAGATGTTGTGTCCTCTGGTTCACTCCCCAAATGACTGCAACAGCTAGAGATGAGCTGATTTGAAGCCAGGAGCTTCCACTGGGTCACCCATGCAGGTGCAGGGTCCTAAGGCCTTGGGCCTTCATGACTAAGGGGACGTTCTATTTGTACTTCATGGTTAAGCAGGTGCCCCTAAAGATAATTCTGCAAAATACTACATTTATATTCTTCAAGGCTAACCATTGTTCATTCTTCAGTAGCAACCATGGAGTGACAGCCAGTACTTCAAGGCCAAGACACATGTGATTACCTGCTAATCAGTAATACATTTCTACTACATTTCTATTTCCACAACTTGCCCATCATTTAATGGGAGAAGTATGTCACAAGGGAAAAACAAAAGATCCAAGAAAAAAGTTTTCAATATTAAATCCCTCTAGGCTCTATAACCCCATAAACACCAAGCAATAATTAAAAGCATATCTCACACGAGAGAACCATGTACGGGGGTGGATTCTGTGGGGCGTGTCTGGGACAAACCTTGTAGAAATACTAGTCCCACTGGTTAGCTCGGGTTGGGGTGGTGAAGGGCTGAGCTGGGTGTGACCATGGAACCTGCTATCACTCCTGGGTAAAGGAACCCACAACAGTCTGGGCAGGTCAAGGCAGCAGCACCCGAATGTGCATCCTAAAACAGAGTGTGGGGTGGGCCAGCAGCAACATTCAACAGCTCATACATGGCCAAATGGAGACCAGACTGTGCCGGGCACTGGGCTAAAACCCATTGGCATGTATAAGAACTGGGTCTAGGAGTGGTTCAAGTGGAGGAACTTGGGAAACTTCCCTGGTGAGTGACAACTCTCACTGATGATCACATGGTCCAGGCATTGGGGTCAGGCAAGCTAGGCAAAGTAGCTCCAAAGATTGCCTAATCGGAAGGCTGGTTGTGGAAGGGGGCAGACTGAGCAGGACAGAGAAAACCTGAACTCACAAGCAAGAACAGAAATCAGGATGGAGCACAGGTCATGCCAAGCTAGGCTCTTACACCTACTGGTCTGCATGAGCCACAGATACTAGGCCACAGCATGGAAGGCAAAGGCTGAGACAAGTCAGGGGCTAAGCCAACTGGATCAGACCAAACACTGGCACGTGCGTAATTCAGGGCTGGGAATAGGTCCAGATGGGAAGCTGTGAGAGTACACCGTTGCTGGGTTGGGGTTCCCACAGGGTAGAGCAGGGGCTGGAGTGGGGATGAATTCTGCTCTGGATATGGCTCAATCTCCCTTGGCACAAGCGTGAATGGAAGCTGGGTGCACCTGACCAGTCTAGACCCCAGCACCATCTGGTGCTCTGGAGAACCTAGATAGATGTAGGACAGACTAGGCTAGGTCTCTGCCCCTACTGAGCTATGTGTGAGCAGAGTCTGGGTGTGGACGAGCCTTGGCTGGGCTGAAACATCCAACAGTAAGAACCAGAATAGGTTGAAGGCCAGTCAGGAAAGGCCACTGTTCCTGCTAGGACAGGAGGTGGACTAAGTAGGACTAGTCCATGGACCTACCGGTATGCGCAAGATCTGACACACGGAGAGGTTCTGATGGAGGAGTTTGGCAAACTCCTCTGTTGGTACACAGTCCCTGCAGGTGAGTGCAAGAGCCATGATAGGGAGCAGCCCAGACCAGGCCAGGGAAAGGTACCCACTGGCATACATTTGGCATAGGTTGGAGGTGGACCAGGATGAACCAGTTCACATTACCCACTGGTGAATCCAAGCACCAGAATAGAGTGTGGGTTAGGCCAGGATTGGTTGCAATACATACTAGTACACATTATAGCTGGGATTCGGTACCTGCTAGGTTGGGCTAGGCTGTAACCCCTACCAGTGTCAGCTGGAATTGGGGGTGGGCCAGGCTCAGCCATGCTACATCACCCACTGGCAAATGCCGAGGTGATGGGGGCCATGCCAGACTGGCTGCAGTGCCCATCCAGCACATGTGGGAACCAGGGAGGGAGGGGGCAAAGCCGGCAGGAGGAATGTGGAAGGTCCCCCTGCTGAACCGCCACTCCCACTGAAGAGCCTGAGTTGGGATGGCGGCAGACCAGACCAGGCAGGGCTATAACACCTGTGGCCCTCATGTGAGCTAGACCAGGGAAAAGCCAGGCTGGGCTGACTGTTCCTACTAGTGCAAGCATAAATTAGAGTGGGTGAGGGTCTATTGGGCTTAGCCGCAGCATCAGCTGGCAGATGCTGGCACTGGGGGGCTAATTCTGTCAAATTAAACTGCAGAACCTCCTGGAGAGTGCATAATCAGGCAGTGGGAGTGGCTTAGAAGGGAAATAGTGGGCACCTCCGTCTTGGG